AGGGAGGAGGGAGAGTGGAGGGAGGGAGGGAGGGAGAGCGGTCGGAAGGAAGGAGAGCGAACATGAGAGGAGGAGGGAGGGAGGGACAGAGAGAGGGCGTTGACGTGTGACTGGCAGGAGCAAGGCTTACATCCGCCTCGAGGCGGGTTGGGGTGCAGCCGAGGGGGAGGGTGCGCTGCCCTCTCCTCGTTGTCGACCTGCTGGAGCAGCAGAACCTCGCGCGGTTCTTCCTGGAGTGGCGACTGAACTCCCTCAAGGAGAAATCCACGACTCTAGCTCTGTGGGCTGTCGATCAGGTGGGTAGAGGAGGAGACAGGCAGGGGGGACTGAGGGCTGCCCAGGGAAACCGCAAGGCCTACGAGGTTGAGCGCTCGCTCCTGGCGGAGAACTCGTGGGCTACAAAGAGTGTCATATGGGAGGGATACCAGTACGTCCTCGTCCTCCTCTTGCTCCTCCTCCTGCTCCCCTCTTGCTCCTCCTCCTGCTCTTCCTCCTGATCGTCCTCCTCCCCCTCATGCCCTCCCCTCCTCAACCTGGTTTTAACGTCCCCTTTCCCTTGCCGCCCGACTATTCCAGCCTTCGCATGCCAACTACCTGATTGCTGTCTGCGCTACCTGCCCCCTCCTCCTTGCAGAAAACTTCTCGTAACACGCCTCACCAGCGCAAGCCCGCTACTCGGGGTCACTCAGTCCACTTGGTTCTGGGCGCAAAGCTCTGAGGAGAACGGGAAAGGTCGAGCGGCCATGATGGAGGCTTTGCTTGCTGCCGGGAAGAAGATCGAATTTCTGAACTTCCAGCTGGAGTCTGCGGTGGGACTTTGGCCTGTCGCCCCTTCCTCGCCCTTACCTCGCACACCCTCCCTGCATTCCCTCCTCTCTCCTTCTTCCGGCATGTCCTCGTCCTCGTCCTGGTCTTGCCTCCCTCCTTCCTTAACTGTCAGCTTCCCCTTCAGCCTACTGCCCTCTATCCCCTCCCTCTTCCTCTGACGACTTTCCTCCATCAGCGCCACCAGCTCATCGAGTGGCAAGGTCTCGCCGACTTCCACAACGTGGACGGCTCCTGGATCTCGCTGAAGCTGCGCGAGGTGGAGAGAGAGCTCAAGGTGGCGAGGCTGCTGGAGGACATGAGGGCTGCCGGGAGCATGGTCAAGACCAGCGACTCCTTCCAGTCCGCAGTGGAGCAGGTGGAGGGAGAGGTCAGAGTGAACCCGAAGCTGCTGGAGGAGTGGATCAAGAGGTAGAGGGCCTCATACTTCTGCCTCCTCTGCTCGCCCCTGCTTCTTCTCTCGCTCCCTCTCCCTCTTCTCCTTCCTACTGTCCTCTCCTGTTCCCTTCCCTCTCCATCATTGTGCTGTCCCCGTCACCTCCTCCCTCTCCTGCTCCCCTCCTCCCTCTCTCCTGTCCCCGTATCCTCATCCTGACAGAGACTTCAGCGCTGAGGGGAACAGGGAGAGGTTCAAGACGAGTGGCTTGTGGTCCATCCTCACCGATCCCTCCTCCTCCTCTCTCGAGTCTCAGCTGCACGACTACTTGGCCTGCCTGCACCCGCACGACGAGCATGCAAGGCCCCAGAGGAGCATGCTCGATGCCAACGAGGAGCAGAAGCAGAAGTTCCTGGATGTGTGCGCATCGTTAGGTAGGAGGAGGAGGAGGAACGAGCAGGAGCAGGAGCAGGAGGAAAGGGTGCCAAAGATGAGGAGGAAGGGAGAAACGAGGAGGAGGAAGGAGGAAGCGTGGCAAGAGGGAGGATGTAGTTGCCCCTAAGTCCTTCTCGTCAGGTGTTGACCAAGACCGGCTCAAAGATTTTGTCTGCCAGCTCGAAATTCTCCTCCTCCAGTCCTTCTGCGACCTGGAGCTCAGCGCGAAGGCGCAGGAGGAGGCCAAGAAGGAGCTCTATGCCATCCGCGCCGAGCTGCAGTCGCTTCCTACCCCCCGCCGCGATCCTCCTGAGCCAGCTCCGTCGTCTTCGACCTCCCTGGTTCCTGTGAAGCAGCAGGAGCAGGAGACGGCGAGGCTCGACCTCTGGTGTGCCGAGCTCGCTGCCCTCCCCCTCGTCGACTCCTCGTCTGAGGGAGGAGAAGAGGCGTGCGCAAGCCCGATCCATGCTGGTCCTCGCCACCTGACCCAGGGGGAAGAGGAGGACGTCGGCGGGGAGAAGCCAGGGAGGAGGGGAGGGGAGGAGAAGGAGGAGGTCGAAGCCCTTAAGGCTGAGATCCTCCGGCTCCGAGAGCAGTTGACGCACTGCCAGGTGCAGCTGCAGGTGAACACGTGGGCACTTCCTACCCTCCCTTTCCCTTCTCCCACTGCCCTTCTCTCTCCTCCCTCCTCCCGCAGCTCTTCCCTCCCTCCCTCTCACCCTTCCCTTTCCTTCTCTCCCTCCGTCAACCTTATCTTTCTCCTCATCGCTGACGTTTGCTCGCAGAACGCGATTAACAAACCTGACCTTCTCGAATGGATTATGTGACCTGAACCCTTTCCTTTGGAATTCTTTCCTTCTCCTCCTCACCCTCACCCCCCTCCTTTCTTTCCACTTTTCTCGCTTCCTCCCCCTTTCTCCTTTCTCCTCCCCACTCCCCGCTCCCTTGTTCCTCCTCTGAATCCCTTGTCTCTTGTCTTCTTTCGGTCTCCTGCTCATTGTCTGCTGACGAGATTTTTTTGGGTTGTGATCCTTCTCAAAGAATTACACTCTTAAGCTACAAAACAATACGAGCTGCCTCCCCCTCCCCCCCCTTCCCTATCTTCACCCCATACCACGAGTCCTTCACCTCTCCTCCTCCTCCTCATTTCTCTGCTTTGGAATTCACAAACGCCATCCTGGCCTGATTGGCGCACCGCTCGAACGAGGCGACCTGAAACGTCATGAGACGGGAAGAGCACCAAGGAGAGGAGAGGAGCAGAGGGAGCAGAAGAACAAGTTGGGAGAGCGGGAAAGGGAAAGAGCTCGGGGGGCATGAAGGACTAGACGAGTGGAGGAGCATGAGGACAGTGAGGAGAGAAGTGAAGGAGAAGAGGAAGCAGAGGAGTGGAGGATGTGCTGTTACCATTTGGGCGCATGCTAGAGGATTTTCAGCGTTGCTCTTGTAACATTGCATAACCGCCTGCTCCCACATAAGGCGCAGGTGGAGCATATGTGGCCCAGAGAAGATGAAAGGGGGAGCAGGACCCAGCACAGAAGCAGGAGCAGGAGCAGGAGCAGGAGCAGGAGCAGGAGCAGGAGCAGGAGCAGGACCCAGCACAGAAGCAGGAGCAGGAGCAGGAGCAGGGGCTGGAGGTGGAGGTGCTCAAAGTACCTCCCTCTCAAGCTGGCAGGTTGGCTCCTTGCTCGCGGGATGAAACGCACGGGCTTGCACGTCTTTGGTGTGCTTTTCCAATCGCTGGAGAGCTTCTTCTTCGGCAAGCTTGTACACACCTGGAGGCGTGTAAGGAGACGAAGGATCAGAAAGTTACAATCATCAAGAGTCAGAAGAGAAGAGAGAACTGGGAGGGGGGCAGAGACGCAGAGGCAGCGGGAGAAGAGGGGACCTGTCACTTGCTGCAGAATCTTCTCCTTCAACGCTTGCTTCTCGTCGTCGCGCTTGAGCGTGAGATTCTCGAGGTGCTCGACGTAGGCACGTTGCATGCGAAGTTCCCTGCGGAAGAGGAGGAGGAGGAGGAGGAGGAGGAGATGAAAAAAATCAAAAGATTAGCCACCACAAGAGACTCTCTCGCTCATCCTCAGTCCCTTCCTACCCCACTCTTCCTCCGCGCTTCCTCTCCCTACCTCTGCTTCCACACGGCATCGCGCCGGAAGGTGCTGTCAAAGATCGACGTCGGGACCTGCTAGCTTGTCAGCATAGAGCCCATGGAACAACATCATGCTCACATCGGGAAAAACAGTGACATCTGTCAGCCTGTCTCGTCTCTGCCACTGGCGTCATCCCTACCGCCTCCCTTTCCCACTCCTTCCTCCTCCTCCTCCTCTAACCTTCTGCTTCTCAATCTCTCTCGTCTTCCCTCCAAGTCTCGACCACAATCTGTCCAGCTCGATCAACGCACAACCCCACAACCTACATTGCCATCGCCCACCTGTCGGAGAAGCGAACGCCAGGAGCAACCAATACTCCTCCGACCGACTCAGGCGAGTCGCTGACATGCAAAGAGTCAGAGGGTTATGCGAGGAAAATGATTAGAGGCTCCGGAAAGACTATGAGAGGACGAGAGAGCACAGCACAGCACAGCACAGCACAGCACAGCACAGCACAGCACAGCACAGCACAGCACAGCACAGCACAGCACAGCACAGCACAGCACAGCACAGCAGATGCTGTGTCATGATGAAGAGGGCGATAAGAGGATTAGTGGAAATGATCCTGGGGAGCGATACTCCCAGGACAGACCTTGTGCTATCGTTGGATTCTAGTCCTACTTTTTGAGCCTGTCGCACCGTCAGGTAATCCCCTCAGCAGCAACAGCTCCACCAGTCTCTCACCTGCTTGATCGCCTGGTCAAGATCCGCGGCTTGCGTCATCCTGACCCTGGCAACTCAGTCAGATCAGAGCAGCGGTGCTCCTGTGACCTCCAAGTCGACATCGTCTACTGTGTAAAACCTAGCTCGCTCACAGAGATGTATGTTCACTTCTTCTCAACCAGCATGATCTCAGCCGTCATCCAACCTCTGCACTTGTCCCTTGGGATACAGCAGATCAGAATTTCTGCCCGTCGCACACCATTGCTGTGCACGTATGATCATCCCATTCTCATCAGCTCTTTGTTGCTGGTGACCATCTTTGTCTTTCTTTCTGTGTGTTGCTCACGGCTCTCCTTCCCCTCACACCATGAAGCTGTACTTCAGACATCGTGACTCCCTAGTGCCCTCTTCCTTTCCTCCTTATCATGTCCTTCCCCGCAGTAAATCTCTGCCTCGTGATCTCATATCCTCTGGTTCACTCCGTCGAGATCTTGTTCTCAATTTCACTCCCTCCCTCTTCCTCCTCTTCCTCCTCTTCCTCTTCCTCCTCCTCCTCCTCCTCCTCGCCGCCACTGTCTTTGGACAGATAAATCGCTCACCTTTGCCCTGCAGGCCTTTGATGACTTCTGGAACAAACTTCAAGGTCCCATTCCTGCCGTCAGCACAGGTGAGGAGAGTTGGAGGAATCAACTTCTGACCTGAGCGGCAGATGCTGATCGGAGGAACCGCCAAGCCTCTCAAGGTCTGCAGAGTCAGAGGAGGAGGGTGAGGTCGACTGACTTGCTTCATCCCTGCAGTGCATGCGGAGAAGAAGCGAGCAGTAGCAACCGCAGCCCTGCATGCGAGCAGCAGCACCAGCCAACTGAAGCCGCTTGCTCCCGCCAGCACTACCGACCTCGCTATGATGACCACCAAGGGCTCAGCAGCTCCCAAGAGCGCCCCAGTCCCTCCCTCTCTAGAGCATGTATCCCTCCCTAACCTTCTGCGCTTCTGACTCCTCCGCTAGTTACAGGAGCAGGCAGACAAGGCGAGGGCGGTGGAGAGAGTAGCAGAGGTTCGCATGCAGGAGGAGGCTAAAGGGGTTTCCAAGGGCGACGAGGAGGCGACGAGGAGGACGAGGAGGATGGACTTTGAGCGGGCGGCGTCGTCACGGGGAATGCCAAAGGCTGACCAAGGTGCCCCCTCAGCACCAGCTGAAGCACCAGGTCCAGTAGCTGCAAGAGCTCAAGCTCAAGCTCAAGCTCAAGCTCAAGCAGCTCCAGCACCTGCGACTTCCACCCGGAGCACTTTGACAGCGTCACCCGTTCAGCAGCAACCCAGCAAGATGCCAGCTGGACCTCAAAGCCGTGTGGCAGCGCCAGTAGTACAGGAGGCTCCGGCTCACGCCGTGGGGGGAGGGGGTACGGGGAGCGAGGGGAGGAGGACGGTGGGAAGAGAGGAGCATGCTGGGGTAGTAGCCAGGCAGGTGGGCGAGAGGGAGGAGAGGCAGAGGTCGCCGATGTTCGCTAGCGCGTACAACAGCTTCCTCGAGCAGGTAGATCAGCAGGCGGTGCAGCGGCTGGATGCTCCTGCATACCAACCTCGCACATAGTTTCATTCACATTGAACAAACAAATTCACAAAGAACTTCTCCTTGGACCTGCTTCCCTCCTCCCCTCCTCCCCTCCTCCCAACAGTCCCTCTTGCATATCCTCTTGGACTCCTCCTATCCCGCCTGTCTCCTCCTCTACTTCCGTCTCCTCCACTCCTAAGGTCTCCTCTTCTAGTGACGCGCTACAAGCCTCGGCTTGCTCATGGCGGCTGGGCTCAGCTGCGTGGTGTCTTCCCGTCCTCCCTTCCCATCAAGCAGCAGCTCTGCGCGTTGTCAACGCATTCATTCTCGCATGCCGCTCGTACCTCCCATCCCTCCTGCTCCTCCTGCTCCAAAAGCCTCGTCCTCCGCGGTTCTTCTCAACCTCGTCACAGGCTCCTCCTCCTCCTCCTCCTCCTCTTTACCTCCCCAGCGGCTCCACCTGCTTCCTCAGCCACTGATTTTCACCTGCATCCCTCCACTCACTCTCCTTCGCATCCTCTCGTCCTCGGAACTCACAGCAGAGATCCGCGTTGGTCCGTCGTAGCTCGTAAAGCTCGCGTGCAAGATGCTCCGTGCTACCTCAGACCATGAGACCATGGGGACAAAGACGAGGGTGACAAGAAGCAGGAGGGGGCAAGGGAAGGAGGGCAGGCAGAGAGAGGAGGGAGGAAGGCAGAGGGGAACGAGGAGGAAGGGGAGGGAGGAGGGGAATGAAGACCTCTGCTGCAGCTCCTGCCGGGTGATGAGAGTTTCGGACTTGAGGAGACTGTCGAGGAGACGGTGAGGAGGTGGGGAGCAGGTAGAGGCTCTAGCTACCAGTAGCTGTCGGTATCAGCGCAGTAGCTCTGCTTCCCCAGCACGTGGGTGTTTGAGGGGTGCTCCTTCCTGTCGGCCTGCTTGCCAGGGTCAGCCAGGAGGAGCGGAGGGCCGAGCTCTACGTGAGTCGGTGACAGCGGAGCTCGCAAGATCGACCGCAGGCCTGTCGAAGCACGAGAACTCAATCTATCGTCCGGGGGAGGAGGGGGGGGAGGAAGAGGAAGAGGAAGAGGAAGAGGAAGAGAGGAAGAGGGAAGTTTCGTACTCGTGTGATTGTTTTCTTCTTCTCCTCGCTCACCGTTCAACTCGATGGTCTCTGAGTAAACCTGTAGGGCAAGTAAGGAGTAGGAACACAAGGAGAAAGAGGAACAAAAGTAGGAGGAGGAGAAGGAGGAGGAGGAGGAGCAGCAGCAGCAGCAGCAGCCAGAACCGTACATGTCCGTCCCCCACGTGGGGAGCATGCGAGTGCATCCTGAGGGATCTGATCTCCTCCTCCAACTCCGCGTTCCTGATTGTCAGAGCCTCCAGCGTCTCCAGGTCCGTATCATGGGCCCTCGTCTGCTCTTGAAGATTACGAGGACGAGACCGGGGAAAAGGATGAGGACGAGCAGACATGACGAGGACGAGGACGAGGACGAGGACGAGGAGACGGAGAAGGCGAAAGCGAAAGCGAAGGCGAAGGAGAGGGAGAGGGAGAAGGAGAAGGAGAAGGATGTGCATGCGGAGTTCGAAAGCACCTCAGCCTCAAGAGCATCTCTAACTGCCTGCAGCGCTTCCATCAAGTTCGCTTCTCCTGCCTGAGACTCCTGCGACCAGAGTTTATCACTCGTCATCCTCGCGCGCCAGGGAGGCTGTACCTTCCTCTCCATCGACCACCTCAGCTCCTTCGCCTCAAAGTTGGCGCACTGCGCTCGATATGCAGCTACAAGGATATCGAAGGCCTGCGGGAAGGATGAGGACGAGCGCGCATCGACCAGCATGGCGCGCATACATGCTTCAGGTTCTGGTATGTGCTCAAGTCCATTCCCTCGATCTCCAGTATGGCTGTTTCGCCGAGGCTGGTGAGCCCGGACTTGTGGGAGTCCGCATGCTTCGGCGTTTCGGCGTTCTGCATGCTCAAGTGAAACTCCAAGGAAGGAGGAAGGAAGAGGGGGAGCAAGACACAGCACGAATGGACAAGAGGGGCAAGACAGAGCAGGAAGGGGCAAGAGGGGCAAGACAGAGCAGAAGGAGAGCAGGGTGGGGGGGCAAGACAGGCTGCATGCCTGCTCCTCTTACCTTCGATGCCCTAACGTGGGCTGCGATCTGCTCGTTTCTGGGGTTGTGGTGGCGCAGAGGATCGGGAGAGAGGAAAGGGGGTGCACGAGCAGGGCTTCCAGCGGCTGCTGGGCTGCTGCCAAGGCTCAGCCTCGCGACCATCTCACGATCAAAGGTTCGGCTCCAAGGACGGAGGATGGAGAAACTGCAACATGTACGTCAGAGAACAAGATGTGCGCGATGTGGGACCTCTCCTCTCCTCGCCCTCTCCTCGCTCCTCCTGCCCCTCCTCGCTCCTCCTGCCCCTCCTCTTCTTCTCCTTCATTCCACTAGATCCCCTGTTCCTCCTCCCCCTCCCTCGTTCCTCCTCCCCTCCTCTGTCCTCCGGACGCTCGCCATTTCACTCCATTTCCGTTCCCGTTTGACCCTCGCCCCCGCTGTTTCATGTCCATCTTAACTACCCTACCACCTCAAAACAATACCCACCCTTATGTCACAAAATTAGTCATAAAAGTACCGGTATCTTGTACTACCCACCACACCTTATGACCTGATTACCACCCACTACCCCCTTCCCGGCCTTGTTTTTGCCTGCTCACAAATAATCCAATTTTCGGGCCGGAAATGAAGGCAGGCGTAGGCAAGTAGAGGGTAAGGAGAACGAGAACGAGGAGCAGGAGCAAGCAGCAGGAGCAGCAGGAGCAGGACCAGGACCAGGACCAGGACCAGGACCAGGAGGACCAGGAGGACCAGGAGGACCAAGAGGACCAGGAGGACCAGGAGGCGCAGGAGGACCAGGAGTAGGAGCAGGAGGAGACGCCGAGGATGTAGATGAGATGATATGAGAGAAAAGAAGACAATAGAGGATGAGGAAGTCAAGGAGTGATGAGGAGGAGGGGAGAAGGAGACGGGAACAATCGCGGGGTCAGTCATGGACAGGGGAGTGGACGACAGAAAATGTATATTAGAGAAGTGAAGCCATGAAGAATGGACAGCAAGGATTCGTTTGGAAGTTTCGGTGTTGTAGAAATAAAGGATGATCGCTCCACGTCTCTCATTTCACTAGATTCCTGTACGATCGATACCTTGGACCAGCTAGTCGAGTGCGCTGGTCTTACTCGTCTTCTCGCGGCATGTTGCGCTTGTACGATCTGCAAACGTGTTATGGAGGCGAGGGGCATGCGAGTTGACCACCTGCGAGCGAAGACTTCGAGCCAGCCTCTGATGATCGGGAAGGGGAAGGAAAGCGTCAGAAGCAACTCGCGAGTGAACGAAAAAACGGAATAAGAAGAGAAAGCGATAAGAAAGGTATGCAAGGGGGCAAGACAGCAAGACAAGACAGTGAGTGCGGCTACATGTCGCCTTCGTCAGGCCTCTTTGGCTTCCTCTGACAACTCGCAGCGTCAGCCTGAGCTTGCAGAAACTTGTCGCTATCACCTTGCGCTCTGGCTCCACGAAAGTCTCCAGCTCTGACGGAGGGACCTGGAGGACGCCAGTCATGCTGCGAGGACAGCATGTCGAGGGGGGGGGGGGGCGTGCACTGCTTACTATGTACTTGGAGTTCATCACAACCGCCTTTCTCTTCTTCTCCTCGAACGCTTCCAGGAGGCTCTGAACACAATCGCGCCGATCATGGGGCCGCCGCCATAAGTGCCAATCACCTTCGGTTTTGACGATGCTGATTCTTCTTGGCCGTCCCCCCTCCTCTCCTGCACTGTCGCTAGGTCGCTGCTTCTTGCCGGCTGGTGGGGAGCGGATCAGGGACTGCAGCTCGGCTCATGACGGCACTGGACCTGCCGCACGAAGCTCGGGACGCCCGTACTGTTGAGCATGTCCGATGCCTTGGGAAGGGCTCGTTTCTTGCTCTGACGGGAAGGTCACTCGGAACAAGATAGCGTCCTCCCCTGTCACCTTCTGCTGATTGCTCGCAGACGCACTGCTCTCATGCGCTTGCTCGGAGGATGTCACTTTCTCGTCCGCTGCCTCCTCGGGGTTCTAGCTGTTCAGTCACACGCCGGCACACAAGGAAGCGACAGAGACTCGCCTGCCGCTTGCTGGACTCGTTGCCCGAGCCATCACTGAGTGTCAAGGTCAGGCGCGAATAAGAAATGCAGACAGGAGTATAGTAGAGGCAGAGGAAGGATGAACGATGCGACCAAGACCAAGACCAAGGGAGGTTGAACAGATGGTGAGATGAGAGTTGAGATCATCATGATGCTGATCGCATGTCTACATGTTGATCGCATCTCTACATGTTGATCGCATGTCTACATGTTGATCGCATCTCTACATGTTGATCGCATGTCTACATGTTGATCGCATCTCTACATGTTGATCGCATGTCTACATGTTGATCGCATCTCTACATGTTGATCGCATCACTGCATGTTGATCGCATGTCTACATGTTGATCGCATCTCTGCATGTTGATCGCATGTCTACATGTTGATCGCATCTCTACATGTTGATCGCATGTCTGCATGTTGATCGCATGTCTGCATGTTGATCGCATGTCTACATGTTGATCGCATCACTGCATGTTGATCGCATGTCTACATGTTGATCGCATCTCTACATGTTGATCGCATGTCTACATGTTGATCGCATCACTGCATGTTGATCGCATCTCTACATGTTGATCGCATGTCTACATGTTGATCGCATGTCTACATGTTGATCGCATGTCTGCATGTTGATCGCATGTCTACATGTTGATCGCATGTCTACATGTTGATCGTATGTCTGCATGTTGATCGCATGTCTGCATGCTCCCCTGCTCTCCTTCCCTCTCCCCCCCGCCTCCCTTCTCCACACCTGTCATAATCCGCCAGGCCATCCATTTCCCACGTTTTTTTTGGGTGTAAAACCTGATTTTCATACTTTTGGCGGGTAAAACATGGCTGAAATGGAGGCTCACAGAGAAGGAGAGCTAACCTGATCCTCACCATCATCATCATCACCACCACCATTATCATCGTCATCGTCATCACCATCATCATCATCACCACCACCATCATCACCATCGTCATCACCACCACCATCATCATCATCATCATCATCATCATCATCATCATCAGCAGCAGCAGCAGCAGCAGCAGCAGCAGCAGCAGCAGCACAACCACCACCACATCCACAGCAGCAGCAGCAGCAGCAGCAGCAGCACAACCACCACCACATCCACAACCACCACCATCCCGATGATCATCATCACCCCAATACTCATCATACTCATTATACTCATCATACTCATCATACTCATCATACTCATCATACTCATCATACTCGTCATGTTCACCACCACCATCGTTATCATCATCCTCACCGTCAAGTTCTGCTATCCTTTGCCTGCACCTAATTGTTCGTAATTCTTCGTAATCCTCATATTCATGTTACCCCTCACCTCATCCAGAAGAGCAGGAACGCAACTGTTGAGAACAAAAGTGAATCGAAGAGAGATGGAGAAGTGAACAACAACGAGGCAGCAGATTGTGACAGACTTCTTAGTGCTACATTTTAGAACAGGAAGAGGAGAGAAGGGGTGAAGGTAGATCGCACAAGGGAAGGAACTGTTGCGCTATAGATCTCATGGAGCAGCCTCGCCCAAGCCCCTAGTGACTTCCTGGCAGACTATGGAACATCAAGTGGGTGACCGTGTCCAGAGTCAAGACGGTTTCCGAGCGACTGTAAGCTGAAGTTCAACGGCGGCAGGGCAGGGACTGACAGGAGGGTCGCAGGTCCAGTACGTGGGAACTGTCAAGGGAGCCAACCCCGAGGACGGCTGGGTCGGCCTGGAGTGGGACGCTGAAGGTAGGGGGAAGCACGATGGCAACTACAAGGGGACTAGATACTTCGAATGCGTGGATGGCTTCGGGTCCTTCGTTCGCCCTGACACGGTTTTGGCGAGTCCCCTCAGCTTCCAGGTCAGCCCCCCTGACGATCTGACCGAGGTGAGACGTTGAGATGGGGAGCAGGAAGCTTTCATCTTGAAGTACGCGAGCGAGGATGCGGCTGGAGCTGAGGAGAAGATGGACTTCAGGTCTGCAGAGAAGGGAAAGGCTGCAATCGTCTGCGAGTTTGTGGGGAAAGAGCGTGAGCTGCAAAGGATGCAGAAGACCTCTAAGCTGGAACATGTCACGCTGATCGGTGCAAGGGTGCGCTCCGTCGGCGATCCAGCATGGCTGAAGGAAAACGCCTCGGGGGTGAAAGTCCTGATCTTGGATGACAACCTGTTCTCGTCCTGGGCGACAGTCCTTGAGCTTCTAGCCCACCTGCCCCAGCTGCAGGTGCTTTCTTTGAATGGCAACAGGATGCAGCCGCCCGATGCGGCAATCTCCAAGATGTTCGACACTTCTTCCAATTTCCAGTCGCTGACGGAACTGGCTTTGAAGACCACCAGGGTGGATTTTGATCAGTTAGACAGTTTAATGCACGCGATTCCAACTCTGAAGAACTTGAGAATAGCGAACAACAACATCACAAAGGTTTCCTCCAAGGAATCTCGGAGGAATTTCGACAGATGGCCAAAATTGGAGCTCCTGGATCTCAGCGACAACAAGATTGAGGACTGGAATGAAGTGCTACACCTCTCTGAATTTCGACAGCTCCAGCATCTCCTCCTGAATGGAAATCAGTTGAAGGAGGTCTTCTTCGACAGGACTGAGAACTACGTCGATTTCCCTGAGTTGAGGACTCTAGCGGTGGCAAACAATCAGATCGGGTCCATGCAGAGCATCTTTGAGATCAAGAAGCTCGCCAACATCATCGACCTCAAGTTCCAAGGGAACCCTCTAGCGCAGGAGCACGGCATCGTCGCCATGCGCAGCATTCTGATCGCCGTCATCCCTGGCTTGACTTCTGTGAATGGCAGCGAGGTCCGCAGCAGAGACAAGTTGGAGAGCGAGAAGTGCTACATCTCAACGTGCGTCAAGCACGCGGATGGGCGGAGTGTCGAGGAGATCGCAGCTTCAGACCCCACGTTTGCTGCCCTGATCAAGGTGATCGCTCGAGGGTCGTTGAAAGTCTCTCACCCCTTGCGCAGAAACATGGAGCCCCAGTCATTCAGGACGCGACCGCGCGATCCAACAGCTCGACCATGCTGACTGTGACGCTCAAGTCCATGGCCTCGGACTCGTGCAGCAAAGCCCCCGTCACTCGAAAGCTACCAGCCTCCATGACGGTTGCGAACCTGAAGCGAATGTGCCAACAGCTCTTCAAGCTCGACGTGTCGAAACAGAGTTTATACGTGAAGTCGAAAGAGGAGATCGATGCATGGACTGGTACGCGATCTGTATTGACTTGCGGGTCACGTATTGATCGCTTTTCACAGCTGATTGCATGGATGACGACATGAAACCGATATCATTCTACATAACACAAGAAGAGTGTGATGTGCTGATGCAGGAAATTGACGCCGCTCTGTCCAATAGCTGAGGTATCAACTGGAGATTTTGGTTGTGAATAAATGAACAGACACAAAGGAATAGCTTCTGGATGACAACAACGGTGAACACAGAACAAACAACAAGTAGAGGACTGCCTTCCTCGTGGTGGTTCTTCAATGAAATTCTTGTAAACATGGCAGGCTCGCCGTTGCCTCATCTTACTTCACTTGCCGGGCAGCGTTGCCCGAAGGAAGCAGCGCATCTGCCATTGCATACGCTGCTGGTTTTCGAATACAAGTCATCCTCGTCGCATTCCCCTTGAACCCTCTCTTGCGGATCTCGTCCCTGCTCGAGATCTCTGCTTCCCCGTTCGTCCCCTCCTGCAGACCCGTCAGGCCATCCTGATTCCCCATCCCTGAATTCATCAATTCGTTAATGTGATGCTCCCGTCGGTTCACGTCGTTGTGAACTTCTCTATGGATCTGGGGGGAGCACGCGCGTCACCGAGCATGCTCGTTCTCTTAGTTCATCCTCCTCACCTTCCCGTCCCGCAGATGCACGATGCGATCAGCGTAGTTCCGCAGGTGGATGTCATGCGTGACCATGATCATAGTGATCCCGTATCGCTTGTTGAGGTCCACCAGCATGCGCATGACAAGCTCTGTGTTCTTCGTGTCCAAGTCCCCCCTGCACAAGAGATGCTTGTCAGAGGCTGGGACATGGCAGGAGCAGCTCATCACGTTGGCTCGTCTAGGAGGAGGATGTCCGGCCAGTTCACCAGCGCGCGAGCGATCGTCACTCTCTGCTGCTCCCCTCCTGACAGCTGAGAGGGCAGATGGTACATCCTCTCCTCCATCCCCACACTCTTCAGCAGCTGACGACATCGCGCGCGTCTCTCGGCCACGGCAAGCTCCCCTTGCAGCGTCAAGGGCAGCTCCACGTTCTCGATGGCCGTGAGCTGCGATATCAGGTTGAACGTCTGGAAGACAAACCCCAAGCGCTTCAGGCGCAGCTCAGCTAGCTCAGAGTCGGGAGTCCGATCGGAGATGAGCGTCTCGCAGATCTTGATCGTTCCCTTGGTCGGCCGATCGATCGTCCCGATCAGGTTCAAGAGCGTTGACTTGCCCCCGCCGGAGGTCCCGTAGAGCATCACAAACTCCCCTCGTTTCACGCTCAGGTTCACCCCTCTGAGTTGAAGTCACTGGATCTCAGACCTCAGATGCTCTGTTACCTCAGCGCAGCGACTCCTTCGATGCCATGCAGGTATGTCTTGTGACAGTTCTTTACCTCCACAATCCTCGTATCATCCGACTGAGGGCAACCTCAATCAACAACTTTTCCGAGGTGAGGCATCATTCTACCTCAACAGAACCGTTCGTGTCTTCCTCCAGGTATGTCGAACTCTCCAACACAATCTCGTTGCAGGGAGCATCCATCCTGCGAACGCTAGAGAACAACCCTTCTTGGTTGACCGCGCCTTGTGTCTGCAAGAATGGTCAACAAAGACTTGCAATTTCCCCTCATCCATCCTCTGTCCGTCCCCTTCCCATCTCGAGGTACCGACACTCTTTCAGTCCTCTCTTCCTCCCTCTCCTCCCAATTTTCAGGTCTGCCGCTTTCAGGCTTCACATGTTCATCCTACACCCATCCAAACGCATGTGAAACTGCAGAGGATACAACCGTCATCTTGAGCAGAAATCAGCGATCTGAAAGCCTCTAATCGCTAGTCCTCATCACTTGGTCCTCATCTCTCATCTCGTCTTGCATGCTTCTTCGCCTGTCCTCTCCTCTCCTCTCCTCGATCCGCTCCCCATCCTCGTCCCTACACCATCCCATGTTTGTTCACATGTCCCCTACCCCCTCGACCTTTTGACCCCCATTTCAACCCATCAAACAACCCCTACCTCCACAATCCTTGTTCCTCTACCGGTATCCTCCCACCTACCCTACCCCCTCATATTCTTCCCCAACTGTATCATCTCCCCTCATACCACCCCCTACCCCCGATATGTCCTTCCCTGCACCTCAAAGGTCACCCTACCTGCTTACTCACCTACCCCCTCCCATCCGACTTTCCATACCACCCTACCCTCCTCTCTTACATCCTTGCAGGGTAAATCCTAGGTGGTAGAAAGTTGCTAGTGTACCAGTACCCCTTCTTTTTAGTATTAAAACACCCGTAGTATTGATGGGGGCTACAAACTATCGCGTTCTTATCGCGATGGAGACGTCGGGAACGGAAGGAGCGGGGAGGTCAGGCAGGAAGGGAGCAGGGAACTAGATGAAGAGACAAGACAAGATTGTTTGTAAGGACAACGATGACGTACAAGGACAGGTAGAATGAGACTCTTGCGAATGGTAGGAGACAGAACCTTGCTCGGGGGGCAGCAGTCGCGAAATTATTGGATCTGCAAAGCACGTTGCGAAAGCGAGAGAAAACGAAGAAGATGATCTAAATCGCAAAGATTTGATGTTGAAGCAACTCTCTCTTTCAAGAAAGTTCCTTGTCGTGTCTGAATAGGGCGAAGCCATGAAAGCGACACAGACCGGACCGGGTCAGAGAGCAACAAGTGAAGCTATACAGTGAGGGAGGCCTACCGTGTCTTCGAAGCTGATTTTTCGGCAATACAGAGCTGTCAGAGCTGATGGAGGCTAATGACATGATTTCGACGTGTGTTGCATGTTTGACAGAGCATGTTGAGGCTGTGTGCAAGAGTGAGCAAGACTCCTGAGGTTTTGCATCAGCAATGGTAGAAAGTTGTCGAAAAAAGTTGGATAGGCTGATAGCTGTTGTCGGGCTGAGAGCTGTTTGAAGCATCATGACTTCTGTTTCATCACTCGCCCTCCACGCGCGCTATTAACCCCGCAGACTGCCAACCCAGGCGTGACAGCAGCTTGTCCTCCGCTCTTGCCATCTCAGCCTGCGAGGGAAGGCCAGCAAGTCAGCGGAGGCCCTTGCGATGATGATTATGCGGCAGTACCTTGTCTTCCTCCCCCGTCTCATGGTCGTACCCGAGGAGGTGGAGGAAGCCGTGGACCATGAGGACCCGCATCTCATGCCGCAAGTCGTGGCCACGTTCTGCAGCCTGCCATCACAAGACTTGGTTCAGAGCCGAGGAGCTGCAAGACATCGATGACCTGCGCTTCAGCTGTCTGCACTGAGATGACGAGGTCTCCCAGGATATCGTTGTCCGTCTCTTGAGGAAAGCTGAGAACGTCGGTAGCCGTGTCCTTCTGCCGCCATTTCTTATTCAACCCCCTTATCCAGACGTCTGAACACAGCACGATGGAAAGCTCGATATGCTCGTCATAGTCCAGGTCGGATTCAGGGTTGAACACGCTCGAGATAATGCTATGAGCGTCCCAACGGAGATCCTCCACGAATTGTTCAGACAGGTCAATGTCCTCCAGGCACATGTCAACTACGATTCCTTCTTCCTCTCCTCCCATCTGACTCCCATCAACTAGTTGTAGCGCCATGAATCGACTTCGCTCAATCTTGGGATTGACGACGTGCGGTTGAAACTTGCTGGTGATTTGCGATGAAACCAAACCGCACGTCGATCCGGCACGGCGCATTATCGGATGCAGCGGGAGATTCCAGCAGAGAGATCGCCATGGGCTAGCTGCTGCTGCTGCATGCCTCTGTGTCAACAAGCACGAGCTTACACATACCAACAAGCTCATCGCCACGCGCGCCCTCGATGCCCTCCCCCAAGATCTTCCGCCCCGCATGGCCCCAACTTTTACATGTGTATTCTAAACAATATTTTTCATTGTACAAATTAAAATAAAATATATTCATATAATATATTATTTTGTACTAATTGTGCCGCTAAAAAACAGTATCTTGTACCATAATTAAAAGTAAACAGCATTTTACAGAGTTGTTCACGCTGCCATGGGCAGTTGCAGGGTACGCTCGTCGACTTTCTGAAGAGAGGAGGAGGAGGAGGAGGAGGAGGAGGAGGAGGAGGAGGAGGAGGATTGAGATACTGATGAAGCGATAAGGCAAAGAAGAGTGTGGGCAGGAGAGCAAATCAAGGTTGAAGTCGGAGCTGGGTGAGGAGGGGTAGGTGCTCGATTTTAATTGGGTTCAGATTTTCCTGATCGGCGAGAGAGGCAACTGAACAGAAAACATTCAAGATGAACTTCGCTCAGTATCTTTTAGCACTGGGAATGCTCGTATCTGGCAGCATAAACACAATCTGCACCAAGTATGCGGACATGCAATGTGTGCCCAACCACAGAATCTCCAGTCCAGCGGATCAGTGCCGGTACGTCAACTCAACTTCAAACTCGTCGGGTCCTTCGGGCGGATCGTTTGCTAGCGATGGTTGTCCCATGGGGTGCGAGACCTTTGACCATCCGTTCGTGCAAGCAGCAGGCATGTTCCTCGGCGAGATGTTCTGTCTCTTCGCACTCCAGGCCGTCTTGTGCTTTGGTATTCCTGTAGAGAGGAACCGCGACTACCCCGTCATGCTGTTCGCTCTCCCAGCACTTTGTGACTTGGTAGGGACGAGCCTCATGTACCTCGGCCTCACCATGACATACGCAAGCGTCTTCCAGATGCTGAGAGGGAGCGTCGTTCTTTTCACTGGGATTCTCTCTGTGATCGTGCTGGGGAAACGGCTGGCGGCGTGCCATTGGACGGGGATGATGCTCGTGCTCGCCGGTGCATTTGTGGTGGGATCAGCTTCGCTCAAGACATCAGACACAACTTTGGCTCCGAGCAACCCGGTCCTGGGGAACTTGCTCATAGTGTCCGCGCAGTTTGTTGTCGGAATACAAATGGTGGTTGAGGAGAAGTTCCTCAGCAAGTATCAAGTGCATGCGTTGGAGGCTGTGGGGCTGGAAGGGGTGTTTGGGCTCCTCTACCTCAGGTGTTGGTTGGGTTCGTATTCCTTTCTTGCTGCCTTGACGCTGTTTCAGTGTGGGCCTGGTCGCCATGTACTACATTCCTCTCGGCAACGACGTCTGCCAAGGGAGGCCGTGCGTTGAGAACGCTATCAGTGCAGGCCTAGAGGTGAAGCAAACCTGAAACCCCTTACCCTCCCGCCATCTGACTGCTCGTCCTGCGACTTCGCAGATCGCCAGCTCTCCTGTCCTCGCCCTGGTGCTGCTGGGGAACATTGTTTCCATCGCGTTCTTCAACTTCTTCGGCATCTCCGTCACCAAGTCGCTGAGCGCGACGCATCGGATGGTGCTTGACTCCCTCAGGTCTTGAGCTCCGGCTGCGTCTCACGGGCAGGGCTGACGTCAGGGGGTCGCAGGACCATCGTGATCTGGGGCTTCTCCATCTTTGCGCGCTGGCAGTCCTTCGATCAGCGGCAGGTGGGTCGTGTGCGTGTGGTGGGACTTGCATGAAGAGACAGCAGGTGATCGGCTTCTGCATCCTCTTCGCTGGCTCCATGATTTACAACGAAGTCATCCGCCTTCCCTTCGCCAAGGAGGAGGTACAAGCCTGGCCTGCCCCCGACACGTTTGCGCACATTGACTTGTGACCTCCAGCCCTGGCCGGAGGCTGAGGTGAACATCAGGGAGAATGCAGTGAAATACATTTACGAGGATTCTGATGCTGAAGAGAACGAGGTGCGGCACATGATCGACCTAAGGCTTCATGCTGACCAGGCTTATGTTTCCCCGTGCAGGCACTGCTGAATGAGCACGATCGTCCGTGAGTGACGACTGGGTCACGTGACGTCAGCAGACCGTACAGCTGGAGATATTGCTTGGCAAGATGTGAGGGAGTGAATGAGTGAATAAAGAATGATGTCTCATGATGCTTGAAAGACGGCACTGTGACCGTCCGACAAGACACTGTGCGCAGCCCGCGGCGGCCCGGCGCCGCCGCAGCGCTCAGCCGCTGAGCAGCAATGGCGCCAGTAGTAGCACTGACTGAATGAATCCGAGGTGAGCCTTGCACACGGTGACCCATTGGCGGCTGACTCCAACTTCCAGTAGTCACTGCCGCAGTGCTCACTGTAGGGCTTCAGTGGCAGTCACGGTGGCCGGCCCGGGCCCGGGACGGTGTGAAAGAGACCCTCGTCCCCGCTGCCATGTTCGCTCCATCGGGGAGGCGGCCGCACCTCTACCCCCGGTCACCGGTGCCAAGTTGATAGAATACCCGGGCCTGGCACCCTGTAGGCCTCCTTCCTCTGCTCAATCCTCTTCTATACGCTGGCCGCAGTGTGAATCACCGGGCCCGGCCCGGCCCGGGCAGCCGTGGCCCCCGCGGCGGGCCGGGCCGGCCGCTCCGAACTTCGGAAGCCAAGTTCCGGGCCCAGGGGGGCCGACACAAGCTCCGACTCCGAGCGATGAGCCCGTGACGCCGGTACCGCGATACTGGCTTACTCAGGCTGCTACCGTCCGATCGGGGCCCCCCCGGTTGCCCCACCCCGCGACTGGCCTCTGGACTGAGATTCGTAGATCATCGGCAGCTACTGAGGGCACGGCGGCGCCGTACGCCGGGCCGCCGCCCATTCTGGAGTCATTCCGAGTTGGTTTGAATGGAATTTTCAAGGGGGTGTGGGGCATGGGAAACAGGGGGTAGTCATTCGCGGCCTGGCCGCCATGATCATCGGATCCTGATTGTCAGTTTCCTGTGCTGGCAATCTCGGATTAAACTCATACGATTTTCAACGGTAACGGTTACCCATCATCGGATGCCCGGGGCATGACTTGATCATAGTACTACCTGGTTCTTGTTTAGATCTAGAGCAGCATCATTCAGAACCGTTTTGAACCGGCGGCCGCGTGACTGCCGGGCACTGCGGCACTGAGATGACTCCGGAGGCTCGTTGTTCTGCCGGGGCCCGGCCGTGAGAGTCAAGCCCGGCCTGAAGGCTTAGTAGGGTCACTATGATACCTGACTCTGATCTAGATCTAGAACAGCGTCTAGATTATCAGCGTCTAGATTATCAGCGTCTAGATTATCAGCGTCTAGATTATCAGCGTCTAGATTATCAGCGTCTAGATTATCAGCGTCTAGATTATCAGCGTCTAGATTATCAGCGTCTAGATTATCAGCGTCTAGATTTTCTGCCTGGCATATTGGTTACTTCCCTGTAGGTCCTCTCCTAAGCTTTTGTTGCCCCAGCCCAGGCTTTGACCACCCGCTTCCTCTACTCTCCCTCCCTTCCCTCCCCTCCCTCCCTCCCTCCCTCCCT